ATTATTATCATTTTGCACCATTTCAAGGTTTACTTACTTATCCTTATCTAAGTGCCACCAAATTTCATCTATAACCTCAAAATGGTATAATATGTTCAGTATTAAAATTTCATAGCAGTAGAGTTCATCCAGTGGGTTATTTTAATGTTACTTAAATCGTGAGCAATTTGATAGGTTCACGGCCTTAACTCACGATTCTTTGAGTTTTTATTTCATATATCCTTGATTCATACTTGGTTAAGGGTTCATTTGAAGATGAAAGTGATTCTGACAAGTTTTCTTATCAAAAGTCCATGATGGCTACTTACCTCGTCGTCAACATTTGGGACTTCTGTTCTTAAGCTCCCGCATCTAAACTACTTCAAATTTCCTTCCACAAACTCCTTATTGTGTCTAGTTTCTAGAACCATAAATTTTTTTTTATAAGAACCTGTCTGGGAGGGTGTTCAAATTGAGAAAAATCAAAGGAAGATCAGATTTTGGGTTGACATGGCCGGTTCAACTGAACTAGCCACGTTATCGTCTTCTTCCTCTTGATAGGAAGAATGTTAGGTTATGGAGCCTGCTTATTTAGTAAACGGTTATACATAGTAAAGTTATATTCCGTAAAGCTATATCCAGTAATGCTATATGTTGTAGATAGTTATATATAGCAAATGGTTATATCTGGTAAAGCTATATATAGTAAGCTGAACCATATATATATATATACCCTTACGACGAGCTTTGAAAATGTACTTTCTGTATTCTTTGTATTCTCTCTTACTCTACATACCTGAACTCATCAATACAAATCCATTAGCTAGAGTTCTCCTTACATTCTCTCTCTCCTGTTCTTTGTGTTTATCTAGATCGAGTGTGTGCGTTGTTGTGCGATCCTAACAACTAGTATCAGAGCTAGGCGAAATTCACTACGATTTGTGAAAATGGAAAGTTCAAATATTGGAATTGAGAAGTTCGATGGATCCGATTTTGGTTTTTGGAAGATGCAGATTGAAGATTATCTGTACGAGAAAGATCTTCACGAACCCTTGTTGAGGATGAAGCTGGATACGATGACCACGAAACAGTGGAAGCTCAAGGATCGACAAGCCTTAGAGTTGATCCGGTTGACGCTATCAAAAAATGGGTGTTCAATATCATCAAGGAGAAGACAACGTCAAATCTATTTAAGGCGCTGTCGAATATGTATGAAAAACCGTCGGCTATAAACAAGGTGTACTTGATGCGCAGATTGTTCAATCTATAGATGTCTGAAGATGGATCTGTTGCTAATCATATAAATAAATTCAATATGATTGCAAGTCAACTGAGTTCGGTGGAAATTAATTTTGAGGATAAAATTAAAGTGTTGATTTTGATGTCATCTTTACCTGAGTCATGGGATACTGTTGTTGTCGCAATCAGCAATTCCTAGAGGATCTGATAAACTGAAGTTTGATGAAATTCGAGATGTAGTTCTCAGTGAAAGTATTCGCAAACAGGAAATTGGAGATTCATCAGGCAATACTCTCAGTGTTGATCGGAGGGGAAGAAGTAAATCAAAGAGCTCAAACAAACACAGGCGATCAAAATCAAAGAACTGGGGAAAATCTCCAACAATCCAAACCAAATGTTTTGGAGCTGTGGAGGAAAAGGGCACTTTCAGAAAGATTGTACAAAACTGAAGAAGAAGCAGAATCATAAATTTGGAGATGATGATGATTCTATATATACAATAGAAGATACTGATAATGCTTTCATCCTGAATTTTGGATTTAGGTGTATCGTTCCATTTGTCTCCAAGTAAGGAATTACTTCGAAATTTCAAATTTAGAGATTTCGGGAGGGTGTATCTTGCCAACAAAAAAAACCTTGGAGATTGAAGGGAAGGGAGATGTCTCCATACAAACACCAGTAGAAAATCAGTGGACATTACAAGATGTCAGATACAATCCTAGTCTCAAGAACAACTTGATCTCTATTGGTCAGTTGGATAGCACATGCTATGCAGCAGAGTTTGGTAAGAGTTCGTGGAAGATTTTGAAGGGTGTCATGGTTGTTGCACGTGACACAAAATTCGGAACCTTATACACTACTGCAAAGTGTATAAGCATGATTACTGTTGCTGAGAGTACAAAAATGAGTTAGAGTACAAAAACGAGTACCAATTCAAGTTTATGGCAGAATAGACTTGGACATATGAGCGTCAAATGAATGAAGATGTTGACAGTGAAAAGAGCTTTAGAAAGCTTAAAATCTGTTGATATGGGTCTTTGTGAGAATTGTGTTATGGGCAAACAGAAACGAGTTAGTTTTACAAAGGTTGCTAGAGAACCAAAAAAAGTGTGGTTGAAAATGGTCCATACAGACGTTTGGGGATCATCTCTTGTTTCATCACTTCTTAGATTAAGGTTCTACGTCACCTTCATCGATGACTTCAGCACGAAGGTATAGGTTTACTTTCTGAAACACAAGTCAGATGTGTTTGCCACCTTCAAGAAGTGGAAAAGTGACGTTGAAAATCAGACCGACTTGAAGATCAAATGCCTGAGTTCTGACAATGGAAGAAAGTATAAAAAAAAAAATCAGAGTTTAAAACATTTTGTGTAGCTGAGGGAATTAGATTAGTGAGAACAATTCCCGGTAAGGCAAGACAGAATAGTATTGCAGAAAGGATGAACAGAACATTGAATGAGCGAGTAAGAGGCATGAGGATTCATTCTGGACTACCAAAGACATTCTGAGTTGATGCTGTGAACACAACAACATATTTGATTATTAAAGGGCCGTCAATACCCTTGAAGTTCATATTGCAAGAAGAAGTATGGACAGGAAAAGAACTCAAGTACTCTCACTTGAAAACTTTTGATTGTACTACGTATGTTCACATTGATCCAGAGAAGAGAGACAAGCTTGATGCTAAGGCTGTGAAGTGCTACTTCATAGGCTATGGCTATGAGTTCGGGTACAGGTTTTGGGATGATAAGAATAGGAAAATCCTAAGACATTGTGATGTGACCTTTGATAAAAAAAAATTGTACGGACAAAGAGAAGATAAACTCTGAGACTACGAAGTAAGTGGGAGTTGAGCTTAAGTTGCAGGAAAACTCACCCAGTGATGTTACAGCAAAGCTCAAGAAACGCCCGTTCTTGTTACTAAAGAACTAGACGTGGAGCATGTTACACCTGAGCATGTGTTGAGAAGATCATCGATAACTATCAGAGCATCAGATGGATATTCATCTTCATTACATTATTTGTTGCTACCTGACGAAGGAGAACTAGAGTTCTTTGATCAGGCCCTACGGTGGAAGATTCAACCAAGTGGGAGCAAGTCATGGATGATGAGATGAGCTCACTTGAAAAGAATAATATATGGGTGCTGATTGAGTTACCTACAGGAAAGAGAGATCTATTGAACAAATGGTTGTTCAGAATCAAGGCAGAACCAGATGACAAAAGGAGGATCAAGGCTTAGTTAGTAGTTAAAGGATATTCATAAAGAAAAGACATTGATTATGCTGAGATATTTTCTCCTGTTGTGAAATTAACTACTATCAGAATTCTGCTGAGTATTGTTGCATTAGAGAATTTGCACCTTGAGCAAATGGATGTAAAAACAGCGTCTTACATGAAGATCTAGATGAGCAGATCTATATACAACAACTAGAAGGGTTTGCAGCTCCAGCCAAAGAGCACATGGTGTGTAAGCTCAATAAGAGCATGTATGGACTGAAACAAACACTGAGACAATGGTACAAGAAGTATGACTCCTTCATATGCAAGAGTGGTTTCCACAAGAGTAAAAAGGATTAATGTGTTACTTCAAGAAATACACTAATTCTTATGTGTTTCTACTCCGGTATGTGGATAATCTACTAATTGATAGATCAAGTATGAGGGAGATAAACCACCTGAAGTTGCATGTCTTCCATATTTGAGATAAAAGATTTGGGTGCAGCGAAGCAGATTCTTGGGATGAGGATTTCTCGAGATAGATCTGTTGGCACATTAGATCTGTCCCAAAAGCAATACATTGAGAAGGTGTTGTCCAAATTCAGGATAAATGATGCTAAACCCATGACTACCCTTTTGAAAAATCGTATTAAATTGACAAGAGCAATCTCCCAAGACAGTTGAGGAACGTGAGCACATGGCATCAATTCCGTATGCATCTACAATTGGAAGTTTGATGTATGCTATAGTCTACACTAGACCTGATATAACACATGCAGTGGGAATTGTTAGCAAGTACATGACAAACCCAAAGAAAGAACATTGGGAAGCTGTAAGGTGGCTTCTAAGATATCTTAGAGGTACATCCAATACTTCACTTTGTTATGGAAATGACAAAGTAGTTCTGCAAGGTTTTGTGGATGCTGATAGGAGTGGAGATGTAGATGTAGACTCTAGCAAAAGCACATCTAAATATATCTACACTATAGATGGAACACCAATGAGTTGGATGTCCAAACTTCAAACATGCATTGCTCTTTCATCTACTGTGGCTAAGTACGTGGCAATAGTTGAAGATGGAAAAGAGATGATATGGATGACAGACTATCTAGAAGAATTAGGCAAAAAGTAGTGCAAAAAGATTCTCTATATAGATAGTCAGAGTGTCATACATTTGGTGAAGAACCCAGTCTATCATTCAAAGACAAAACATATCAGAAGGTGATACCATTTCACTCGCAGGTTAGTGGAAGAAAGTGATATGTGTTTGGAGAAGATAAAGGGTGCAAAGAATCAAGCAGACATGTTGACAAAATGTGTTGATGTTAGAAATTGAGGTTATGCAAAGCCTTAATCGGTATGGTGCAGTGAAGATGTTTTGCTCATTTGAGAATGAAATTCTTAGTTGACTGGATCAGTCTCCAAGTGGGAGAATTGTTAGGTTATGGAGCCTGCTTATTTTAACTTAGTAAACGGTTATATAGAGTAAAACTATATCTAGTAAAACTATATATGGTAGATAGTTATATATGTTATATCTAGTAAAGTTATATATGGTAAATTGAACCATATATATATCCCCTTAGGAGATTTGAAAATGTAGCTTCTGTATTCTCTCTTCCTCTATGTTGGATCGATGTGACAATCCGAGTGAATAGGGTTTCAACCAAATGATTAATTTTTTCTAATAGGAATAAAACTTAATAAATGCAATAAAACTTAATAATAATTTAGAATTTAAATAGGAAAAGAGTTAGAAAATATAATACTGTAGTTTTATAGTGGTTCGGTCAAACTCGACATACTCCACTCCACAAGCGCCTCTTGGGAATTTGAATAAACCTTTCTTGACTCTCTCCTCGGATCAGAGCCCAACCGCTACACCGCTCATTTTACGAGTTCAATAACAAACTCAATTCTTTCCACGGCTCAAGATCAAACCGGTACACCGCTCTTTTTATGAGTTCAAGAGCAAACTCAATCCTTTTCACGACTCAAGATCAAACCGGTACAATTGTCTAAAATCTTATAGAAACACACCACAACTCTCTGAAATAGATTTACAGTTTTCTCACCATACACTAGACATCTCTCTCAAGAATAAGATAAACAAGAAATAAAATTGGAAAGCTCTGTAGAGTGCAACAATGGAGGCTTTAAAAAAAAGTTTTAGATCGAGAAACTATGTAAATGTCTATGTGTTCTATGTTTTGTGTGTTGTAAAATATGAAAAAGATGATGAGTTTAAATAATTATAAGTGGTAAAAAATAGAAATTGATACGAACTACTAAAACATGAACTGAAACGTGGACCACGAAAAACAATATTATTTATTTTTAAATGTATCGTGAAAAATTATAAACCACATGTTTCATTTATATATATATATATATATATATATATATATTATATTATTTTAAATAAATATTAAAAACATTTTAAATTCATTTTTATTAGATATATACATATAAATAAATGTAATAATATAATAAAAAAATGTTAATGAAAACATCCAATTACCAATGTAATTGAAATAATTTTATTTCAGTAATTGAAAATTTTTATAAATATAATTGAAATAATTTTATAATTCAAATACTTTTCGAAAATTCCTCCATTTATTACTCTACCAAATTTATAAATGTCATACTTCGATTAGTTTATGATGTCAAATTTGCCGCTGGTGCATGATGTCAATTTTGTCATCACGTCATCAATTTTGTCACTACATCATCATGTCAGGTAGCTTGTTTTGAATTCGATTGGTCCATGATGTCAATTTTGCCGTCACATCATCACATCGGGTATCTTGTTTTGACTGAAACTTCTTCGTTTTATCTCTAATTTGAGTGAACCAAAAAAGATGTTGAAATGGTTATTCTCAACCTTACACTGTGGACAAAATACTCGAAATTGTTAATAATGAAAGGTAGGTTTGTTATCCTCAAAACATCAATCAATTAATTAATTAAAATTAATTAATTTGAGATTAAGGGCAAAAAAGACAACAATCTCCCTTTTTTATGACGACAAACCATAAAATCCATACCACCATAAAACTTAAAATAATGCACATGTCCAAATAATAATATTGATGTAGGATAGACATTCTAATATATCATCATAAATTTGAAATTCACTCAAATCCATATTCTCCCACTATATTAATGCTTCAATCAATTATGAAACATCACACCAACTAGGTGATTCACTAATTATAAAAACAAGAATGACATGCTCCCCTGATAACGTGTCTTTAAATAAGATTATAAAATTCAAGATATATCAATACCAAACTCAAATGCAAGATATATCACACCGAATAATACCAAGCTCAAGCCTATTTTTGCAAAAAAATTTATTCATTTAAAGGCTTGGTAAAAATATACAAAATCAAGAATAATATGTCCATTTTGCACATGCTCTCTAATAAAATGATGTCTAATGTCAATATGTTTAGTTCTAGAATGATGAACAGAATTTTTTGTTAAATTAATAGCACTAGTGTTATCACAATATAGACACTATCAAATTTTAATCCAAAATCACCGAGAGTTTGTTTCATCCAAAGAATTTGAGCACAACAACTAGCAACCGCAATATATTCTTCTGCTTCCATAGTAGATAAGGCAACCAAATTTTTCTTTTTACTAAACCAAAAAACTAATGAACCACCAAGACATTGACAAGTTCCACTAGTACTTTTACGATCAAGCAAACTTCCCGCAAATCCGCATCAGAATATCCTACCAATTTAAACTCAACATTTCTAGGATACCACAATCCTAAATCAATAGTCCCAAGTAAATATTTAAATATTCTTTTAACCGCATGTAAATGAGATTCCTTAGGACAAGATAGAAACCTAGCACAAAGACATACACTAAACATAATATCACGTCTACTAGCAGTCAAGTAAAGTAAAGATCCAATCATACCTCGATAAGATTTTATATCTACGCATTTACCTTTTTCATTCTTGTCAAGCTTGGTAGATGTTGTAACACCCCAAAAAATGAAGGAAAGCCACCTATGCAAGACCCAAATGATCCAAGGAAGAAAATTATGAGGATTAAGCAAGAAAAGGGGTCTTAGCAAGTCATTTCTATACCATAAGAAGTAATCTAAGGACTTAAGACCTTTGGGGAAGGATTGGGAATGAAGCGTAAGCGAAAAGGACGAAAAGGTCATTTTTTCAATTATCAAAGATTTTTTTAGATTTTTAATTCCTTATCTAGAAGGACTTTCAAGGTGCTCAAGAAGGGAAAAATGACCAACAAGGATAAAGAATTTTTAGGAAAATTATGGATTTTTTGAGAAAATAATAATAAAATATTCGAAAAATGACAAACTACCAAAATACTCTTGAAGTTAAGGATAATTATGAATTTGCCATTCTACTCAAGAATTAGAACCTTCACAGTGCCTTATGCACAAAATCCTTCGAATCTCGACTCTCAGCCGTTGGATCTCCTTCAAACTTGGATATATTCTAGAACACTCACGAATCGTCACATCCAATGGCTAAGATTCAAAACCAAGGTCGGTGAGGCTCTGATCGGAGTAGATATTTTTATTAAGAGGATATTTTGGAGATATATTAGTTAGAATATATCTAGATATTTAGGAAGTTGTTAGTATAAATTTGATTAATGGTATATTTTATTTATTTACAAGATTTAGTTAGATATATTATTTTTTTCTATTTTTAGGTAGTAGTTAATAGTTTGTATCTATTTAAACGTGGTAAACCTGAATGAAGATCATACACTTTTCCAGTTCTATTTTCTATTTCTATTTCTTAACATGGTATCAGAGCATCGATCGTGGTATTCTTAAATATCAAAATTTCCTTTATGGCGGAGTCAGCCAAATCCAGCTTTAAAATGGTATCAGATTCATTCAATTTACTACACTTCGTTGCTTACTCACTGTTGCTGCTGCTCGAAAATGGTTCACCCATCAGTTGGATGTTCAAAATGCCTTTCTCCATGGTAATCTAGACGAGGAAGTTTATATGTCTTTACCACCAAGTCTTCGCCGACAGGGGGAGAATACAGTATGTCGGCTCCATAAATCTCTTTATGGATTAAAACAGGCTTCTCGCAATTGGTTCTCCATATTTTCTACAACTATACAAAATGCAGGCTACACTCAGTCCAAAGCAGACTACTCTTTGTTTACCAAGAGTAAAGGTACTTCTTTCACTGCAGTTCTAATCTATGTTGATGATATTCTGTTGACAGGAAATGATCTCAAATAAATGCAATATCTCAAGACTAGTTTACTCCAGAAATTTCTTATCAAAGATTTAGGAAATTTGAAATATTTTCTAGGCATTGAATTTTCTCGGTCTAGAAAAGGAATTTTTATGTCTCAAAGGAAGTATGCTCTAGACATCCTTCAAGACACAGGCCTTACACGAGCACGTCCAGACAAATTTCCTATGGAGCAAAATCTGAAACTTTCTTTAACTGAAGGAGAGAAATTGAACGATCCAAGTAAATACAGACGGTTGATTGGCAGATTAATATATTTGACTGTCACTAGGCCTGACATAGCTTATTCAGTTCGTATGCTTAGCCAATTTATGCATGAACCAAGAAAACCACATTGGGAGGCAGCTCTTCGAGTTCTGAGGTACATCAAAGGCACTCCTGGTCAAGGACTCCTACTTCCATCTGAAAACAATTTAAGATTACAAGCATATTGCGATTCTGACTGGGGTGGTTGTCGAACTTCCAGACGGTCTATTTCTGGGTTCTGCATTTTCCTTGGAAATTCAATTATTTCTTGGAAGTCTAAAAAGCAGACTAATGTGTCCAGATCATCAGCAGAAGCCGAGTATCGAGCTATGGCAAATACTTGTTTAGAGTTAACTTGGTTAAGATACATTCTTCAAGACTTGAATGTTCCACTGTCCGAACCAGCATTATTATATTGTGATAATCAAGCAGCATTACATATAGCAGCCAATCCAGTTTTTCACGAACGTACGAAACACATTGAAATAGATTGTCATATAGTTCGAGAAAAGTTACAAGCTGGAATCATCAAACCGTGTTATATTTCGACCAAAATGCAATTGGCAGATGTTTTTACTAAAGCTCTGGGAAGACAGCAATTTGACCTTTTGAAGGACAAGTTGGGTGTGATCTACATACACTCTCCAACTTGAGGGGGAGTATTAAGAGGATACTTGAGGGGGAGTATTAAGAGGATATTTTGGAGATATATTAGTTAGAATATATCTGACATATTTAGGGAGTTGTTAGTATAAATTTGATTAATCGTATATTTTATTTATTTACAAGATTTAGTTAGATATATTATTTTTTTCTATTTTTAGGTATTAGTTAGATATATTATTTTTTTCTATTTTTAGGTATTAGTTAATAGTTTGTATCTATTTAAACGTGGTAAACCTGAATGAAATCATACACTTTTCCAGTTCTATTTTCTATTTCTATTTCTTAACAATTTTCGATAGATTTCCAGAAAATACACTGACAATTTACGACGATTCTGGAGCTCCCAATGTCGGTTTAAGTTTCCCCTATAAATTTTGAAGTTGGGGCAATCGTTTGGAACAAGAATCGAGTAAGGTCGAGCTCCCAGTCGTTGGAAATAAGTGTGTAGATTTTGGGTCTCCTACTCTCGGGTTTCTTCCAAATTCGAGAGAAATTCTCCACCATTTCCTTTCAAACTTGTTCCTATAGCTCATAAACAATATTACCCACAAGTTCTATGAAGGAATAGAGTCCTGAAAGTGCCTAGAAACCATTCTCCCAATCTCATCCGCCATTAGAGAGCTTCAAGGAAAACTCAAAATTCCAATATGAGGATATAAAGTATTCTTCGAGCAAGGACGACCCCAACTGCATCTCCAGAGAATGTTTCCATAGAAGACCATGAAAAAAAATAACCTCATGAACGTTCCCAATTGAAGAAAATTCGTTTTGGGTTCAAATTGGGGTAAGTGTCGAATTCCTTCTACGACTTCTTTTCTTTCAAATTAAGGATTCCTTTAGCTTTAGAGAAAGAAGATGAGTAACTTTTATGAAGGAATCAAGAGCTGAAACGTCTAAGAACAAGATACCCAAGAGATTGAAAATCGGAGGTGTCGGGTAAATTGCAGACTGAGAGTTATTTCATAGACATTAATACGTAAATTTATTATAGACATGATGTGGAAAATCAAAATTTTCAAATTTAGGAGGTTGTTTTACCTAAACTTACTCCATAATATAACTATTTAAGAATGCACTTTTCACATCCATTTGATAGAATTTACAAAAATTTTCAAATCATGCAAAAGTTTCTTCATAATCTATACTTCCCTCCTGACAATAACCTTGAGCTACAAGTCTAACTTTATTTCTAATGATATTTCCATTTTCATTCATTTTATTTAAAAAAAAATCATTTGGTTCTAGAATTTGAAAGTGGGAACTCCTTTACTTGATGTAACTACTTGAGCCGGATGAAAAGAAATTTTCACGTCTGATTTTGAAAGGAGGAGATCCTATAGTATCCTATCCAAATTTTTCTTTTGCTAGGCCCATAGCTAAAAAACCTACTTTCTTACGAATACGGGGTTCATTCGAATATGAAATCCAATCCTGGAAATACAGCATCCCACTTTTTTTTACTACCCAAGGCTTCGATACATTTCGAAATCGAGAAATTTCTACCGGAGCAGGTGCTATACGAGAACAATTAGCCGATCTGGATTTCTGGCCATCCGCCGAGAGTTTCGGATTTAATACCGATATTTTAACAAAAAATCCAATAAATCTAAGCGTAATGCTTGGTGTATTGATTTTTTTTGGAAAGGGAGTGTGTGCAAGTTGTTTATTTCAAGAATAAGTTGGATACAACCAACGGTACTTTTCTAGTTATAACTACGAAAAGGTGCATGATCCCGCAAATTACTTTCGAAATATACCTACCTAACCTAATCCTAATAATGAGTGAATCAATGAGCGAAAGTATGAGAAATTGAGTTTAATCCTGTTTATACCATATGACAAACCAATCACTTTCCGAAGGGTACTAGCCTTCGTATTATTTAAATAAAATAATAATATAGTTTTTTTTTTTCTTTTCGAATATTTATTCTTTTTGTTTTTTCATTTTTTTAGACGTTTCTTCTCATCACTACTAAACCACTATTTTCATTTGATATTCTATAATGTAATTAATATAACTATATATTCAAATGGTAAAATTTATGTATATTATTTATTTTTTAATAAAGAAAAAATACAATTAAATTTCAAATAAAATAATTTCTATATAGAATTATATGGGCAATAGTGATTAGAGGGCCTAGAGACTGATTCCCAAACTTTGTTCCTTTCAAATTGATTTAATTTTTGTTGCATAACTAAAATCCAAAACTATCATTTTCGGCATCCTTAAGACTTTTTGGTTCAATTTGAGAAACAAAAGCAAGATTATTAAATAAATTAATAGAGGAACGAGTTTTCACAACTTGTTCGAAATCACTAATAATCAAGTATTTGGGATGAGATGAGGTATACCTCCATACTTTTGGTATCGGTGAAGAACCTTCTTCCTCATTTTCATTTAAGCTCACTTCTTTTTACTTAGAAAGAGTTTCTTTTCCTTTGTCACTGACCGGTAAATCTCCAAAATTTCTTTCTAAATCATCGCTACTCAAATAGACTCATTAGAAATATCATTACAAGATTTATCAAATATCACAGGCATAGATTCTTCTATAACTAAACTTCTCTTATTGAAAACTTTATAAACTTTACTATAGATGAATAACTAAGAAAAATACCAATATCCGTCTTAGAGTCAAATTTTTCCACCTTTCGTCGTTGTTCAAAATAAAACATTTGCAACCAAAAACTTTTAAATACCCAATATTTGGAATTTTATTATGCAACTAGTTTATCTAAAGAGGGTCTAATTAAAACTCTATTTGAAACATAGCAGGCGGTATTAACAGCTTCCGCCAAAAAAATATTTAGGTAAATCATATTCATTTAACATTGATCTAGCAAATTCTTGTAAAATACGATTTTTTTTCTTTCAACCATACCATTTTGTTGAGGAGTACTTAGAGGAGAAGTCATGATAAAAATAATTATATTCACAACAAATTTCAAATGCTACACTATCCAATTCTTCTCCATGTTCACTCCTAATTTTAGTAATTAAAAAACCTTTTTCATTTTAGACTCAATTTACAAAACTAGCAAATCTTTTCAAAACATCATTTTTCTGTTTTATTATCAAAACTCAAGTAAATCTCGAAAAATCATCGACTATCACAAAAACATAATAATTTTCTCCACAGCTAGCTATTTTAGAAGGGTCAAATAAGTATACATCAGAACAAGCATTTCTAGGATTTAATGATTTATGAAGGTAGAGTCATCCTGTTAACTATCCGCGTTGATTTGGTAATAAGATAATAACGAATAGAAAAAAATTAATGGCTTGAATCGTGTATCAACAGTCACTCCCCGGTAGAGGTAGAGGATAAGGTTCCATGGGAACAATTATTTATTTCTATTTCAGCTCGTCTCTTTTTTTTTTTTTCTTAAAAAAAGCGAGCGAGGAAGTGGGGGGAGAAATGACAAGAAGATATTGGAACATCCATTTGGAAGAGATGATGGAAGCAGGAGTTCATTTTGGTCATGGTACTAGGAAATGGAATCCTAGAATGGCACCTTATATCTCTGCAAAACGTAAAGGTATTCATATTATAAATCTTACTAGAACTGCTCGTTTTTTATCAGAAGCTTGTGATTTAGTTTTTGATGCAGCAAGTAGGGGCAAACAATTCTTAATTGTTGGTACCAAAAATAAAGCAGCGGATTCAGTAGCCCGGGCTGCAACAAGGGCTCGGTGTCATTATGTTAATAANAGGAAGTGGGGGGAGAAATGACAAGAAGATATTGGAACATCCATTTGGAAGAGATGATGGAAGCAGGAGTTCATTTTGGTCATGGTACTAGGAAATGGAATCCTAGAATGGCACCTTATATCTCTGCAAAATGTAAAGGTATTCATATTATGAATCTTACTAGAACTGCTCGTTTTTTATCATAAGCTTGTGATTTAGTTTTTGATGCAGCAAGTAGGGGCAAACAATTGTTAATTGTTGGTACCAAAAATAAAGCAGCAGATTCAGTAGCCCGGGCTGCAACAAGAGCTCGGTGTCATTATGTTAATAACAAATGGCTTGGGGGGATGTTAACAAATTGGTCTACTACCGAAACGTGTAATAGTTGAAGAGGTCTAGTAGTAGAAATCATTTTTAGATTTGAAAGAGGACTTGGTTTGCTTAACCATTTGACAAGCATCACATATTTTATCTTTTTCAAATTTAAAATTCGGAAGGCCTCTAACTAATGAATTTTTTGAGATATTTGAAATCAAATGCATACTAGCATGTCCTAATCTTCTATGCCATAACCAAGAATTATCGTGCAAAGCCGAAAGACATTTATTAGGACAATCATTTAAATCAATGATGTATAAATTTTTCTCTCTATTTCTAACTAACAACACTTTTCTATCACTAACATTTTCAATTATACAATTATTTTTATCAAATATAACTCTAAAACCTTTATCACATAATTGACTAATGATAAGATAAGTCATGCTTTAAACTATCAACTAAAAGTACATTTTCAATGAGAGTACCAGAGTCTTCCCTACAGTATCCTTACCAATTATTTACCCTTCTTGTTGTCGCCAAAGGTTACTAAGTCACCCTCCTTCTTGGAAAGACTGACAAACTTGATTGGTTTCCGTCAAGAGCAACCACGGTCCAAATACCACTTATTTTTCTTGGAGGCTTTCAAATAAACCTAAAAACAAAGATATTCAAAATTGACCTTTTGGTACCATACTTGTTTGGGTTCTAACAAGTCAGTTTTCACACATTTAGGAATCATGTTTGCATTCATATTAAAAAACTTACCACACGAGAAACAAACAACAGTCTGCACAGGAATTTATTTCTTGGACTAAGTTTATGTATTCTATTTTTAACTGAAAAATTATTTCTTAAAACATTGTTAAATTTTATATTTTGAGAAAATTTTCTTCCAAAAGGAATGTTTTGAGAATTTTTCAATTTAAAGCAATTAGGTCTAATAAGACCTTCAACACCACAATAATGACATATAGGCACAAATCTAGATTTATCATACTGAGATACAAATTTGCATGTGTTAGGCTTAGACATAATAGGGAATGCTTTAACAAATATTGTTCTAAAACTTGGGTAGAACATTCATCAATATAGACTAATCCTCTTTTATCACTGTAAGGTTTACCTGCTTCAATTGTTTTATCTAATTTTTGAGCACCTATGGTTAACTTTTAAATAGACTCTTTAGCCTTACCAAGTTCTTCTATAGTATTTGATTCCTTTTTTTTTTTAGTAATTTAATTAACATTTTTCACAACAATCATGCTCAAGAAATGCAGTTTTCTCATCACAATCAAATACATGCTTTTCACAGAATATATCAAATTTTACAACATTATGATTATTCTCTTTTAAGTATCATTTAATAAAGACTCATTTTTAATAATTGAAGCCTTATATTTCTTTTGGAGCATAACATACTCTGAACAAGTTTTTCTAAATCAAGTTGCACCTCCTCAAAAACTTTAAATAATTCATTGTAAAAAAGAGATTCAAGAATTACCTCGTCTTCTACATCCTCTTTATTACCCTGCGCTATGACTAATCCTCTTTGTCACTATGAGCCATTAAGCAAAAATTTGCTACTTTTTCATCACTTAGAGATTCATTTGCATCTATTTTATTATGAGCTAACATGCTAATTTTTGTTTATTTAACTTGATTTGTTCCCTGGTGAGTTACTTCCAGAGTTTTCCAAATATTAAATTTTTCTAATAACAATAAAACTTAATACCATGCAATAAAACTTAATAATAATTTAGAATTTAAATAGGAAAAGGGTTAGAAAATATAACACCGTAGTTTTACAGTGGTTCGGTCAAATTCGACCTACTTCACTCCCAAGCGCCTCTTGGAAATTTGAATAAACCTTTCTTGACTCTTTCTTCCGATCAAAGCCCAACCGCTACACCGCTCCTTTTACGAGTTCAAGAGCAAACTCAATCCTTTCCACGGCTCAGTATCAAACCGATACACCGCTCTTTTTACGAGTTCAAAAACAAACTCAATCCTTTTCACGACACAAGATCAAATCGGTACAATTGTCTGAAATCTTATCGAAACAAACCACAATACAATAGACATCATCAAAAATAAGATAAACCAGAAATAAAATTGGAAGCTTTGTAGAGAGCAACAGGCTTTTAAAAAAAAGTTTTAGATCAAGAAAAGTATGGAAGTGTGTATTGTGTTCTATGTTTTGTGTGTTGTGAAATATGAAAAGGTGATAGAGTTTAAATAGTGATCAAAGTCCTAAAAAATAGGAATTGATACCAAACACTCAAACATGAACCGAAACGTGGACCATGAAAAGTGATATTATTTATTTTTAAATTAATCGTGAAAAACTATAACCCACATGTTTCATTTAAATATATATATATATATATATTTAAATGTAATAATATAATAAAAAAATTAATGACGTAACCATTTAAGAGTAATTGAAAAGTTTTATAAATCTAATCGAAATCATTACCAATATAATTGAAATAATTTTATAATTCAAATACTTTTCTTTTAATTTAAAAGTAATTGATAATTTCACCGCTACTCTACCAAAATTATAAATGTCATATTTCGATTGGTCCATGATGTCAATTTTGACGTTGGTCCATGATGTCAATTTTGTCACCACATTATCACGTCAGGTATCTTGTTTTGAATTCGATTGGTCCATGATGTCAATTTTGCCGCCACATCATTACGTCGGGTATCTTGTTTTGACTGAAACTTCTTCGTTTTATCTCTAATTTGAGTAAACCAAAAAAGACGTTGAAATCGTTATTCCCAATCTTACACTGTGGACAAAATACTGAGAATTGTTAATAATGGAAGGTAGGTTTGTTATCATCAAAACATCAATTAATTAATTAATTTGATATTAAGGGCCAAAAAAGCGAACACTCTACGTATCTAAAGTCATCAATACCAATCCTTTAGCTAGAGTTCTCCTTGTATTTTCTCTCTTCTATTTTTTGTGTTCATCTAGATCAAGTGTGTGTGTTGTTGTGCGATCCTAACAACTGGTATTAGAGATAGACGAAACTCACCACGATATGTGAAGATGGAAAGTTCAAAGATTGGAATTGAGAAGTTCGATGGATCCGATTTTTGTTTCTGGAAGATGCAGATTGAAAATTATTTATACCAGAAAGATTTTCACGATTCCCTGTTGAGGGTGAAGATGAATATCATGACCATAGAACAGTGGAAGCTCAAGGATCGACAACCTTTAGGGTTGATTCGGTTGACACTATCCAAAAATGTGGCGTTCAACATCATCAAGGAGAAGACAATGCCAAATCTATTGAAGGCACTGTCGAATATGTATGAAAAATCATCGGCTATGAACAAGGTATATTTGATGCAGAGGTTATTCAATCTATAGATGTCTGAAGATGGATTTGTTGCTCATCATATAAATGAATTCAATATGATCGCCAGTCAACTGAATTCAGTGGAAATTAATTTCGAGAATAAAATTAAAGCGTTAATTTTGATGTCATCTTTACCTGAGTCATTGGATACTATTGTTGCCGCAATCAGCCGTTCTTGAGGATTTGATAAATTAAAGTTTGATGAAATTCGAGATGTAGTTCTCAGTGAAAGTATTTGCAAACAGGAAATTGGAGATTCATCAGGCAATACTCTCATTGTTGATCAAAGAGAAAGAAGTAAATCAAAGAGCTCAAACAAACACAGGTGCTCAAAATCAATGAATCGGAGAAAATCTCCAAACAAACCAAACGTAACGTGTTGGAGCTGTGGTGGAAAATGACACTTTCGGACCGATAGTAAAAAACTGAAGAAAAAGCAGCATCATAAATTTGGAGATGATGATGATGATTCGATATATACAACAGAAGATACTGAGGATGCTTTAATCCTTAGTGTGGACAGCCCAGCTAAATCCTGAATTTTAACTTCAGGTGCATCTTTCCATTCGTCTCCAAGTAAGTAATTGTTTCGAAATTTCAAATCAGGAAATTTCGGGAAGGTGTATCTTGCCAACAACAAAATCTTGAGATTGAAGGGAAGAGAGATGTCTCCATACAAACTCCAGTAGGAATCAGTGGACATTACAAGATGTCAGATACATTTTTGGTCTCAAGAAGAACCTGATTTCTATTGGTCAGTTGGATAGCACAGGCTATACAGCAGAGTTTGGAAAGAGTTCGTGGAAGATTGTGAAGGGTGAAGGGAATGAACTTCGTATTCCACAAGTTCTTCCTAGTTATGACTCGAACAAGTATGAGGGAGATAAACCACCTGAAGGCAAGCATGTCTTTAGTACTTGAGATAAAAGATTTGAGTGCAGCGAAGCAGATTCTTTGGCTGAGGATTTCTCACGATAGATATACTAGCACTTTAAATCTATCCCAGGAGTATTACATTGAGGAGGTGTTGTCCAAATTCAGGATGAATGATGCTAAACCCAGGACTACCATTTTGGAAGATCGTATTAAATTGTCAAATGAGCAATCTCCCAAGACATTTGAGGAACATGAGAATATGACATCAGTTCTGTATGCGTCTGAAGTTGGGAGTTTGATGTATGTTATAGTCTGTACTAGACATGATATAACACATGCCGTGGAAGTTGTTAGCAAGTACATGGAAAACCAAAGGAAAGAACATTGAGAAGCTGTGAAGTAACTTCTGAGATATTTGAGAGGTACATTCAATACTTCACTTTGTTATGACAATATCAATGTAGTTCTGCAAGGTTTTGTAGATGTTTATCTTGATGGTGTTACTATAAAACGTGCGGAAGCAATTTGGATCTTAGGCACTCTAAGTCATCAATTATAGTAAATTAGCTAGCATGTTCAAAAGCATTAAAACTCAATGAGTTTGAATACTAACCTTTTGTAGTTCAAATTCCTTTTTCCTCACGAACCGATTTCGAACCACCACTGATGTCTTCCCTACTATTTTTCGGCCTTAGAATGGGATTGTGAAACCTGGTAAGTGACTAAACTTGATAGGAATTTAGTATATGTAAAGAGAGAGTTTTGAAAGATTTTCTCAAAGTTTTTCACCAAAAATTTCCATTTACCTTGATCACATATTTGCATGTTCATGCAAATTTGAGATTACAAAATTTTGACCCTCAACCACTCAAATTTGTGGGGTTTATTTGGTAAACATGCAAGTTTGTTTAAACTAAATTTTGACACTCGAAATTACACTCAAATTTGTGGGATTATGTGACAAACATGCAAGTTTGGTTAAACCATATATTGATGGTCAATATTCCACTAACTCAAACATGAATTTTTTCATTAGTTGGAGTCTAAAATTTTGACTTTCTCCATTTTAATTCAACAATTAATTTAAATAATTAATTTCAAATTAAAACAATATTACATGATTAATTAATATTTAACATTAATTCAAATGTCAATCCCAATCAATTTTCGTACATATTGATTATGAATCCCTATTCAAAATTAAAATATTTAAATCTTATTTAAATATTTTCAATTCTCTCTTTTTGTTTAATTCATAATTAAACAAAATGCGGTTAAATATATTGTATATATGTAGTGCATATTCCCTAATTTGAATTCTAATACATCGAACTCACTCGTCACATTGTTCTAAGATTTAGTCTGATATGAGCTAGCAGAGGGATCTAATGGACCTATAGATCATGGGCTCCAACGATCCAAGATTAACCGGCTAAACTCATTAACCTTGTTAACCAACATTCATTAACTACTAGGACACTCCACTATAGCCTAGTAGTTGCACTCCTCTCACTATAGATATATTTCTCCATTTGATATAATCATGATTAGTAAGTCGATCCTTCACAAGTTGTTCATAACTAGAGAGGGTCAATTTATCATTTTACCCCTAAAGTTACTTCTTGTTCCTTAAGTCCCACTGATCCTCTAATGAACAATTGGTTTGTAGTCCAACCACCAAACTGAATCTCTCTCAAACCAATGAGAGGGTGGGGCTCCTTGTTCAAGACCTGGAGTCAGTACTTAAGGAACAACCTCTCTACTATCCCTAAAAGCGGGTAGGAGTGCATTCTATCTTGCACCCTATGTTCCTAGCTATTCACCCAGTCTTACCCCTAAAATGGGAGGCTTATTGAGTCGGCGAACTCGGGCCACTCTCACCCATGCAAATCTAAGAATAATTTCGAATAAACAAGAGTTCATAGTTAGCTCTGAATTAAGGTCGAGTTACCTAGGTCATCGAATGAAAAAATCAGTCTCAACAGTAAACGACATTATAAAGTGAGAGTGATTTTTTTCATGGTCCGATCTTATGTAATACTCATTGCATACAACACCCCCACTCACATGTCTCCACATGTAAAATTTAGTGATCACATTGTTTATATCATATGCAAAGTGGGCCTCATCCATAGTGTCCCTAGGATAAGGTACTCAGCCTTATCCCTGTACTATAGATCATTTTGAATATATACTTGAACTTAATCCACTCTTATATCTCTACACATAGTTCAAGTAATCATACTATAGCCAAAGTGTTCTTAGTTTATTGGATTTAGATTAATGATCGTAAAATTCACTTTATTCATTAACAATCGTTATTGAATAAACATCAATAATAACTTTATTGAAAATATAATATGTTTTTATTTACAAACTATGAGTTTTAGGACATAAAACCCAACATATCTGAGTGGAGATATAGACTTTAGCAAGAGCATATCTGGATATATCTACACTATAGATGGAACAGCAGTGAGTTGGATGTCCAAGCTTTAGAAATGCGTTGCTCTTTTATCTACTGAGGCTGAGTACGTGGCAATAGTTGAAGCTGGAAAAGAGATGATATGGATGATAGACTACCTAGAAGAATTAGGCAAAAGATTCTTTATACAGATAGTTAGAGTGTCATACAGTTGGTGAAGAACCTAGTCTGTCATTCAAAGACCAAACAAAATGTCATACAGAGCTTTGAAAATGTACTTTTTGTATTCTCTGTACTCTCTCTTATTGTACATATCTGAAGTCATTAATACAAATTCATTAGTCAGAGTTCTACTTCCATTTTCTCTATCCTATTCTTTGTGTTCATCTAGATCGAGTGTGTGCGTTGTTGTGCAATCATAACGACGCGTGCGTCCTTTACGTCGTCGTCTGAAATGAAGCTCCTCAAAACCATTCATAGCGTTTCACCCCTCGATTTATTCATGAAAATTAATGATGGTATTAAAAGAAAGAGTTAGGGATTAATTTCATACCTTCTCGTGTATCGTTGCCTAAGATATTCAGCTCGTAAGTTCGTCCAAAATTAGTGTTTTTTGCTAGAGTTAAACCAGAGGATTTATTATTTGGTAGCCAATTCTTTGGGTTTTTAAGGCTTAATTTTTTCATGAAATCTCTTCCATATCCTTTCCTCAAGCTAAAGGAATTGGTTTGGAGGAACGACTTTGAGTGTGTGTCCCCAATTTTTTATAATCGCTCTTGGTCTGCAAGTTACCTGGAACACTAAAATTTTGATCTCTTGGGTAGCATATTCTTCGACATTTCAGCTCTCGATTCTTTCATCAAAGTTACTCAACGTCTTCTTCTAAAGCTAAAGGAATCCTCAATTTGAAGGAAAAGGGTCGTAGATAGAAATTTGATACTTACCTCCAATTTGAGCCCAAAACTGATTTCCTTCAATTGGGCATATGAAAACATTCCTTGGAGGTGTAGAAATTGAATGAGATTGTTCTTGCGAGATGAATTATGGTGTATCCTTGGATTGGATTTTCAAGTTTTCCTTGAGCTCTACAATGTCAAATTGGATTGGGGGAATGGGTTCTAGGCATTTTCAGTACTCTTTTCCTTCATATAACTTGTGGGTAATCTTGTTTAGAAACTGTAGGAACAAGTTTGAAGGGAAATGGTGGAGAATTACTCTCATATTTGAAGAAATTCGAGAGTAGGAGATCCAAGATTTAAACGCTCGTAACTCTCGATTGAGAACTCAATTAAGCTCGCCTCTTGCTTCTATCAGTTGCCCTTGATTCATAATTTATATATGGATGATCCACTGCCAGTGAAACGTCCAGAATCACAATAATTCCATTCTTGATATTTTTGGATGTTCCACGGGAATTATCTACTCCAATCAGAACCTTACCGACCTTGGTTTTGAATCCTAGCTGTTGGATGTGATGATCTGTGAGTGTTCTAGATTATATCAAATTTTAGAGGAGATCCAACGACTGAGATTTGAGATTCGACGATTTTTGTGCAGATGGTCATTGTTGATAATTTGATTCTTTCCAGAATGGCATACCTATAATTATCCGTATATTCAGGGATATTTTGGTAATTTGTCACTTTTCGAATATTTTATTATTATTTTTCCTGAGAAAAAATCCATAATTTTTCTAAAACTTGCTCATTCCTTGTTGGCCATTTTCCCGTTCTTGAACCTCTTGAAATTCTATCTAGAAAAGGAATTAAAAATCTGGAAAATTCCTTAGAAATTGGAAAAACGAAATTCTCAATCCTTCTCAAAGGCCTTTTAAGTCCTTAAAATGACTGATTATGGTATAGAAATAACTTGTTAACACCCTTTTCCTTGCTTAATCCTCTTTCTTTCTTTGGATTCTTTGGTCTTACATGGGTGACTTATTCTCATTGGAGCTAATTTCCTTGGTTTTTGGGGTTACAAGTTGCTTTTACCATAAATAGAAGTAGCACACAATCACTGTGACCTATTATATCGGTCTATATTTCTTAGGAAGCTATCCTACACGGGCTAATTGGATATATATTTACTATTCTACACATAGTCCACACGTGCGAGTATGAACCCACTAGTAGATTAGCACATCTCCTGGGTCCCTTTCTTATCGAGCGAGCATTCTCTAGTAGCTGTTGATGTTGGACACGCCTATAAGAATTGCTACCGTCATAGCAGCATTATTATAAATAAAATAATTATTTTCCTGCCTCGTAGTGTACGCGTCGTACCATTGTAAATGAAGAAGGGGTATCCCTTAATGCTTTAACACGCAATCATGCATGAGGTCCCAACATTTTTTCTTTTTCACTATGATGTATGACAACCCCTCTAGCATTTTACTTCATATCATATCATTATCATAACTTTTCATGTAATTTCGGGGTTATGTATCATGTCAAAACATCTTATTGCATGTTATTCATATCATACATCTTATTGTATCACGTGTATCATACCATAAGCATATTGTATTTTCCAACATATCATGTCATGCTGAACATATATCATTTCATAAAGTATATCACAATATGAATCGTATCATCAAACGTATTGTATCATAACATATATCATATAATTCACCTATCATATCATATCATATCATAACTTACTAAGTATTCTTTGAAATACTTGGTTGGCCTTAGTGACGTTCTATCCTATTTCCACAATTTTCTTGACTTGTCCCTCAAAATTTGTAACGACCCTTGAAGATAAATCCACTATCAAGCTTATTCCCTCGCTGCCTTCCAATCAACGGATCTCCGAGCATTTCGAACTAACTTGGCGAGGAAGGTGAACTATCTAGAACTCTGACAATGGGCTCCTAATTTTTTGAAAAGAAAAAACTCTATTCGCGAAGTCAGAACGACGTTTGGATGAGGATTTATGGGTTAAAATGAAGGAGCTTGAAGGGGAGTGAGAAGCATTAGTGGAACCAAAGAGTGAAAGAGATGAATAAGCAGAAAAAGATTTGATCGTTCAAAGATTGGCAGGAGATGATAGAGAAGGAAACGGCGGGGAGTATCCGATCGTTGTTTTATATTACCTTCCCTTACATTCATCATATATTTCATAGTCGGTTAGTCACACTCACTCTTTTAACGTATAAAATTTGAGGTGACAAAAATATTATGGAACAAAAACTTCAAAGTTACAATGTTAACTTTTAAAAAGGTTATGAAAATTTGGTTACCTTTAAAATAGGAAAGAGTGGGACAAAATAAAAAATGTCAGGTTCACTAGAGAATAATCATCTTTTTATCTTGTGAAAATAAGAAATGAAACATATGACATTTTCGTAACACTTTGTTTTGTTGGAAAAAAATTAAAAGAATCTTTTATGGAAGTGTTTATTTACATTTATTTGATATAATATTATAATGAACTTTAAAATTACATTGAACCATTTTGGAATACAATTTCAAAATATAAGACGATGCTGTTCAAATTTGTTACAAATGAGAAGACGAGTTTGGAATACAATATTACATAGAATGAGTCACAAAAGATAGATCATCATAGAAGAAACCATTCTTGTAAGTCAGATATCTAAATTTTTGGTTGTGGTCTAATTTTAATTATTTTGATTTAAGCTGGAGAAATAAATACCAAAAGTTCTCTATGTATTTTAGGAAATTTTTGTCACGATCCATTGTAAAAATTTGGATAAAAATCTATCAGAATTGGGCAACAAGTAAATAGCGCCTAAACAATAGGTTCGAAGTTGAACCTGTCTCAACTTTGGAACAACCCTCCCATGCGCACAAACTCAACCCACGTCCACCGCTCAGCCTGAAGTTCACTCTTACACAGTTCATCTGCATGAAGCCCAGGCCCATCCTCCCTCTGGCTAAGCTCAACTCCAGCACCTAATCGACAACCCGATTCACGATCCAAGCTGTCCACGACCAAAACTTACTCGATCCACAACGCAAATAGATCTAATCCACCACCTAACCCATAATCCAACTCGACCCATCACCCATGACTCGACCCAACCCGCGATTCAACTTGGCATGTGTTCTTTATAATTTATAATTATGATGTAAGACTGTGATCTATAATGTACAATGACATGTAAGAGTGATATGATGATGTATGACGATGTTTAATGTTTTGTTATGATGATTATGATGTATTTCGATAACGATATGATAACGATGTATGATGATGACAATGCATGATGTTATTTTGTTAATATGACGTTATTTTCCATATATAAGTTAAGATGCATATTGTGAATGTCATATTGCATTACGTCGGCCTAGGACATTACCCTACAAAAAATTATAATGTTAAGATGGATAGTTAATACACATATATTACAAATAGTAATACAAGGATGAAACTAGGGTTGTGTCATAAGGACGTTTAAAGACACGAAATTAGAGGGACCTCATGCATTTTTGTATGTACATAAGCATCATGATACTTCTCCTTTTATGATGATGAGTATGGACGCGTACGCTACGGTGATGACGGTGATCATGTTAAGCATGACACTCAGGAGTCCACTGACCTTCAGACGTCGCTACAGATAGCTAACTTAACTACGATGGGTCTAGGGGTGTACAAACCACCTTGAAATTCACGCTCGCACGTGTGAGTTGTGTGTTGGGAAGTACTGCACATTCATTTTAGTCCAGAATGGAGGCCACTCCTAGGGTGTTTTAACAATGGGTCATTAGAGTATTATTACATGTGTTTGCATATTTTCACAGCCCCTATAATGGGGTCACTTACATCATTTTCTTTGAAATACTCAGACCATGTGCTACATCATTTTTCAGGTAAAGGCAAGGAACCCCCGTACGGTTGACCGTGACATTGCAAATCAGAGAGCATGACATGTGCATAGGATAGAAGCATATTTAATTTCCTAGACTTAGGTTAGAATAGGTTGTTATGCATTTCTTGTTTTAAATTTATTTCATTATCGTTTTAAATTTCATTTCTTAATTATGTGTTGAACATGTATGACCATGACGGTGTTTTCAATGATGAAGTATGCTTATGTTTGAAATCTATTATTTAAATGATGATATTTTTAAGAGTTAATATTCTGCATATGGACTTAGACTAAGATGATAGTAACGACTTTAGGCACCTGAAATCTAGGGTCATTACATATCATATCATAATCATTTCATTTTATCGAACACATAGTACCATAACATATATCATATCATTCACATAACATATCATAACGTGTGTGTGTATATGTAGAGACATATGAGTGGATCAATTTCAAATATTTAGTCAAAATGATCTATAGTACAGGGATAAGGCTGAGTACCTTATCTTGGAGCCTTATCTTGGGGACAC